AGCCTGAGTTCCTTCTCAAGAATGCTTCTATATAAACTGGACTTCTGCTCTAAATTTATTAAACCTTATAAACCAGATTCTAAGTTTAAATTTAGCATAGCATGGCTTTTAATACTGTTTTCAGGTTCTGGTGCAGCCAAGCTCTTTTTAAAACGAATCCTCAGTAGCTTGGAGTTACAGAGGTCAAGAAAAATGACACTTTCCCCACTTTGAACAATCCTTCTTCTGACCATAAACCACCTCAGACCCATGTTTAAAACCCAGATCTTTCCTCTGTGATGCAGTTAGTGTCATGATCCAGGTTTGGAGGCATTTAGTCTGTGGTTAAAACACGCCCTCAGTGCTTATAGGAAACTGTCCGTCACTCAGGTAGAGCCCAGAGCCGCCGTCCGGTCTCCCTCCTCTCTCCCAGTTTGGGCCTCCACCCTTCGTACTGGGACTCCTGCCAGAGCTCGCTGTGATTTAGTGCGCTGACCACATGCAGCCGCTGCCATATGCTTCACCAAACAGCTCATATTTAAAGCTTCTGTAAGCGATCAACCTTTCTGCGTGAACCTCTGCAGGGCCACAGCTGATGTATCGTACTTCTGAAGCAGTTTCCAGCGAATTTACAACGCATTAAATCTCTGCTGACGGCGCTGAAATCCAGACTTAGCCCGGTCGGAACACCCAAAGCCAAAGTATGTTAGGATCTCAAGTATTTATGCGAAACTGTCTGAAATGTCAAGATCCAAATGGTGAAGGTCTTGGGTGACCCAGAGGCGTTCTGATACCTGTGTTTGTTCAGAGAGTTTCCTCACAACTTAAATGTGGAAAAACATTCAGACCATTGCGGGCTGCAAAAGCTTGATGATTTTCTTTCAGGGTTACCAAGAGGGAAGCTCTGAGATTAATGACTGCTCTGAAATGAAAAATTACAGCAGAAAAACATACCGGATGTAAAAGGAATATTCAAGTTGGTTTCTGCCTGAGAGGTGAAACCGGCGTCATTACTTCATCAGAAATCGACGACGTGATTGGTCGAAAAATAACAGTAATTATTGACATAATCCCTTCTAACACTCTCAATCAAGCTGTTCGTTGGTTGTTTGGAGGATTGTTTGTTGTAGCCTTTAAATAAATAGACAGGTCTTATAGTCTGAGATGGTCACAGCCAAAAGATATCTTGAAAATTTGGAAATCTGCAATTAACCACTGTTTTCCCAATACTCAGGATGACGTTCCTCAAACGTCTTGATTTGTGTGAAACCCAAATATACTCAGTTTACTGTCATAGAGGAGGAAAGAAACCACACGATATTTACATTTAAGATGCTGAAATCTGGGAATTTTGACTTCTTTTTTCCTGAAAATTGATCAAACAGAACAATTGACTATCAAAATAGTTGCTAATTAATTTAACAGGTGGCAACTAATCAGTTATCACTGCAGCTCTTCTAGTCACTGTGATAGAAATGGTGCAAATTGAACAAGATCTTGTGACTTGAGGTCCTAATTATTCACTGATTTGTCCAACCCTTTGTTAAAAATCATCCAGGTTGTGTCATGTTTAGTCACAAAAGCAGCTTGTTTGGGAGACGACTGTTATTGTTACAGCAACAAAA